AGCCCCCCCAAGAGCCCCCAAAAACCAAAAGCAGCCCCAAAGCCCTCCCAAGAGACCCCAGCAGCCCCAAACCGCGCAAAAGCCACCCGAGAAGCCCTTTTTTGACAGACGCCCCCGAGGGGTCACCCGATTCTACTAAACCCAACGCAACAGCTTTGGATCGGATTCTGATGTCTTTTGCAAAGTGCTCGCCAAGAATCATTGACCTGAACAATCCGAAGGAGCAAGAGCCCCCAAATGCAGCCCCAAAGCCCTTTTTGACAGACGTTTTGCAAAGTGCTCACCAAGAATCATTGACCTGAACAATCCGAAGGAGCAAGAGCCCCCAAATGCAGCCCCAAAGCCCTCCCAAGAGCCCCACCAAGGCCCTTTTTGACAGACGCCCCCTTCGGTCAAAAGGCATCCTCGGGTTCAAAAGCCCCTCGTAGATCAAAAGCCTCACACCTTTTGCGGTGACAGGCCGGTCAAAAAGGCCTCCTCGGGTTCAAAAGCCCCTCGTAGATCAAAAGCCTCACACCTTTTGCGGTGACAGGCGCCACAATCCTCTGAGGTATCGGCATCTCTTTGGAGTTTTGTCTGTTCAGGCCTTTACTTGTCATGAGCCTGTGGAGGTCTCTTGACTCTGATTCTGTAGCGACCTGTTGATAAGGATGCCTTGCCACGAGTTGAAAATGGATTGGGAACACTAGCATAGGCTACGGCCCAAGTGGAAGTAGTGCTTCTCGAACGTCTTGCGGTCTTGTCTGTTTTGGATCTCGAGGATGCATTCGACACTGGGTCTTTGCTGAGTTGAAGCAGTTGACGAAGGCTTCTCTAGAAACAAGGCTGCCGAAGAGTGCCTTGTAGCCCCGTGTAAAGTAACGTGGCTAAATTGAGCAGTAGGCTGGTACCGCTTCTTGGCCGTGAGTGCAAACATAATTTCGCGGGTTCTTTTGATAGCATTCCAGGCTGACTGTCTTGTCAAGCAGGCTGTACTACGTGAGCTTCTTGTGGTTTTCAACGATGGAAAAAGCAATCCATCAGACTCCTTTGGCCAGTCGTACCTGCCTGGGGCCGGGCAGGACTTCTTCTGAAGGTTCAGATCAATGATTGTTTGCGAGTACTTTGCCACGGCCTCAGTCTGGACTCGTTCCAGGCCGTTCCTTCGTATCGATTCAATGGTGGCCACAGCCTCTTGTGATATCCTTGCAGCTACCTCATCACATCCCAATTTACCCATACCGGGCTTGATAATACCCGTGTCTGTGCGCTTTAGTAGAAGTACGTAGGGCCTGTCGTGATGCGGCCCACCTTCAGTGAAGATATCACATGCACGTAGGTTGAGGATCTCCGAGGCCCGGCGTGACGTACACAATGCCAAAAAGACACAGAGTGCATAAACAGGCCCACTCCAATACAAGAGCACACCATAGAAAAGCTCCATGTCTTGTCTTGGTACATATAGCCACTGGCGATCTGATCTGGTCATAACTCGGCCTGTGTTCCACGGCTTCGGCTTCTTTGCTCGCTTAGCCTTTCTTTTCTGCTTCGGCCCAGGCTGGGACTTCGGCCTGACGTGTCTGCTGGCTGGCCGCTTCTGGGCCATCGCAAGGACCGACCTCTGACCGTTCTGTCGCAACTTTTCAGCACAAACGCTTCAATGACAATGAAGTGTCGCAGAATCCGGGCACAAGTGACGAGCAAGTCACCGTGGCAGACTCGTCACGGCTATGGCAGGCAAAAAGCAGCCTAAGGCTAAGGTTAAGGCTGCGGCTAAGCCCGCGGCTGCAGCAGTTGCATCGCCTCCGGTGATGCATGTGGCAGATGATCTCAAAAGCGATGTGAACAAAGACCTCTATGCTGACTTGCAGGGCAGCCTGCAGCGGATCACGGATCACCCGCTGTTCAATGGCGTCCAAGTGCTGGAAGCCTTGGACATCTCTGCTGACAGCAGTGCATCAGTGGAGCCCTTTTCCGAGGACACATGGCGTCGGGTGAAGGCTGGCGCAATCGCGAAAGGCTTCAAGCCCACGTACACAGCAGGCGGCAACATCTTCTGGATTGACCCCTACCTGTCCTTGGTGCCAGGCATTCCGGTGAACCGGAAATCCATCCTGAAGCTTCAAAGCTCGTCCTTCAAGACTCCTCAGTTGGCTTTTGAGAAACGAAGAGCGGTGCATGTGGGCATCCTGGAGGGTGAGGAGGTGCTCAACATGCGTGGTAAACTGCGGCTTCTCAGCCCTGATGAGGAGCTCTATGCTTTCATCTTCCAGCTAGACAATGTCTTGGCCTCGGAGCCTGGTGAGCCTGAGCTGGAACAGTGGCTTGCTCTTGCGAAGTCATGGACGATGACAGTGGAGCTGGTGCCGTCATTGACTGACATGTACTGGCGATGCATCAACTTGAGAGAGGACATAGGGACGTCCTTTGACGTCTTTTATCGGTCCTGCATCCAGCGAGCGTACGAGGTGATCCAATTCAAGCTGGACTACGAGCGTCGCAACCCCAACGATGTCTTGAGTGCAGCGGGAGTGTACCAGAAGTGGGTTGCGAACGTGCAATTCTCGACAATGGCAACCGGAGAGAGGGCTTTCCGGCAATCGTTCGTCGACTCTTGCCTCACAGTCTACAACAGGATTTTGTGCATTGAAGAGCTGCAGAAGATCATCTTGCAAGGCGAGGAGAAGAACGGCAAAGATAGTGTCTGGTCGAGCATTTATCAACTTGAGGAAGTTTGCAAGAAATGCGGTCAAGGTCCAGGGTCGAAGGAAAAGCTGATTTGGTGCATTTCTGGGATTCAGGACCAAACCGAGAACGACATGCTGCAAATCTCCAGCTGTACCACGCGGAATCTGAAAGGCCAAGGCCTCCCATCGAACAAGGGCACGGTGGACCTCTTCATTTTCAAGCTGGGGTTCAAGAACTTGGCTGTGTCAACATGGCTTGAGGATGCAGGCTCAGCTGTGCCCCCAGAGGAGAGGCAGACTCTAAGAAAGGCCTTTGACAGCTTTGCTGAGTATCGGCAACACTTCGGCTGCCATGACGAGCGTGATACCGTTGATCTTTCCTGGCTTGCACGGTTCACGCCTACTACACGGGAGTACATCACCTTCGTTGAGGATTGTGTCTTCGCGAAGAAGCACGACCGAAAGTTGAAGTGTGCACTGTCTGCTGGCGCGAAGCCAGTAGATCTGCCAGACCGTGAAGAGTTCTCCGTGGACTTCAAAGCATTCAAGGCCGGCTGGCAAAAGGAGCGTGGGGACGCCCCTGAGCCGAAGCATGAGCTTTCGGAGGCATTGACGGGGACGGAGGAGAGTATCCAGGTGGGCCAGATCATTCAAGCTTCCATGATGGGGGGCCGGCTGAATGCTTGGCAGACTAAGGACCTGGCCAAAGCCCAGCACGACCAGGCCCTGCTTGCCAAGCATCTGAAGAGCTTGAGCGAAGACGAGATTGGATTGATCAAGGACTTGGAGACCAAGGCCTCACGTATAGTGAGGGCTGCGGTGAAGATCATCGTGGAGCCTGAGCGCCAAGCTGTTCTGCAGGAGGAGCTGAAGTCGTCCCCCATTGGGTCCCGGGTGGCCTCCAAAGACTTCCTGACTCTGGTCCTGTACGATCAGAAGACAGCGGGTGAGAGCATCACATGCCCGCATCTCAGAGTGCCGCCGCTGAAGGTGGAGAGGGTCAAAACCGCAATCCAGGCCACGTGCAACTTTCTCAGCTCTGGTGCTGAGCTGCCTTTCAACGGGATTTTCGCCATCACGGATGCCGGCAAGACCGGCAACGAACGAGCAATTCTCAATTGCTTCGTCAATGAGGCTGGTGCATCGATGGCAAAACACCATAAAAGCTTCTATGTTGCCTACAAAGAAAGCGATTTGGCAGCTCGCTTGGAGAAGTTCAAGTCAACGGCTCAGCTGAATCAGCTGGAAACAGTGCACATCGTCACGTCTTCTGCGGCCTCGAAGCAGAAGAGACGCCCTCGCCGAGCTGGGCACCTGAAGGGTGAGACCAGCTCAGGCAACATCCTCACTGGGGTACCGTTGCCGGATGCGAGTGCTGCGTGCTCTGAGTCGGTGGTGACCAAGAAGGCCATCTTCGGGAATCAGATGAGGATTGCAGTGGGAGGGCAGACGGACGGAGAGCCGCTGTACAACAAGGACGATGACCAGAAGCCCGTGTTCTGGCATATGAGTTCCCCTGTGCTGCTCGAGGAGCTTCTTCGAAGCGAGTGCTGGGCTGATGCCCTGCTGGACTGGACACCCACAGATGTCGCAGCCAAGAAGGCCATGGATTTGGGCATTCCGTACGTTGCCGTAGCCTACACGGAAACCCACAAGGAGCTGCTCATGAAAAGATTGGCCACGATGGTTGCTAAGGACATGCTGACGGAAGGCCACAGTCTCTACTGTGCGGAGGTTGCCAAGATTCTGGAGGTGCCTGGTATGGCCAAAAAGCCCTTGCCGAAGGCAAAGGCTGCGGCTGCAACGACACCGCCGAATCCATCCCCGGCGGATTCATCGCAGAATAAGAGAAAAGCAACAGCTGAGCCAGAGTCGGCAGACGATGACAAGAATGATAGTACCCACGCCAAGCTCAGGGCACGGCTGCAGGAGCTGTCCGGTAAGAAGTGAACACGTTTTCCTCATGCAGCAGAAGCAATTTTGCACGTGACTGTTAGGTTCACACAGTCAGTCTCGTGGCGCCTGCTGACATGCACTTTTGTTCACAAGCTTGGTTTTGCAGAGGGCCAAGGATGCCATTTCAGATGCGTTGCAGAGCAACAGACAAGGAGAGCTTGCAGATGAAAGACAAGTGCATGCAGCGCCTGCGACAGGTCCAGAGAGTGCTTTCGCTTCCATCATCGTTAAGCCAGCCGGTGCCAAGCTAATTGCGTGTTTCATTCCTAGTTGAGTTGGCTGCAGCCTGTGTCATCATGGCATGGCGTCATCATGCCAGCTGTTGATGTTGCTCTGCAGTGTTTGACTTCACAAGGCGGTCGAGATGTAAGTCCCGCCATGGACGATGAAGACCAGGTGATGGCCTATATGCCTCGCAAGAGGCATCGGGCCTTGACAAGAGTTGGATCCAATGACTCTGGCACAAGGCAACCGAGGAGTCGCTATGTCAATGGCCGCGTTAATCTGGAAGGGACGAATGACTCCTTGCTGCCTTTGCCGCAGAAGGCCTTCCAGCACTGTGGAAAGCCAGGGCTGTTAGTTGGGTCAGCTTGCTCGGGGTGGTCATGCGAATCCCAGGCACCTACCAACTTAGACAGGTGCCACACACAATTTCCTTCCTCTGTGGCAGTGACCGTCATGTGGAGAAATGGCTGCGCCACAATGTCGTTTTCGAGCGGTTTCATCGAGATGTGTTCCATGATGCCTTCATGAACGAGCAGAAGGTAGATATTTTTGCGGCAGGCCCTCCTTGTCAACCATTTTCTCCGGAGGGTGCAAATGCAGGAGATGATGATTCCAGAGCCCATGTTATCCAGCCGATCAAGACCTACATCTGTCAAGCTCAGCCTAGAGCCTTCATACTGGAGAACGTGGCTTCGTGGAGCAAGTCGGATATCTTCAGGCAGACCATGGATGATCTGGGCGGTCTGAAAAATGAGGATGGGTTGCCGGTGTACAATATATACCGCAAAGTCCTGCAGACGTGTCATTATGGAGTGGCCCAGAACCGCAGCAGGCTCTACATCGTCGGCCTCCTCGCCGACGAAGACAAAGGCTTCAAGTTCCCGGAGGCGTTCAATGAGAAGCCAGACATTGCAGATCTTTTGGATTCGAGAGAGCTGCCTCGACCGATCAAGGACATTTCAGAGATGAGCCCTGAACTTGCGAACTCGACTTCCAAGACACGACAAAAGTGCCTGGCCGCAGTCCTCAGCCACTTCGAGAAAACGGGTGAGTGCCCTTGGACATCCCACATCATCGTGGACACTCAGCATGGGCGGAGTGATGCGCGCTTTTACAAAGATTGCTTTCCAACTCTTACGGCCGCTCGTTGCCAACAGCGAGCCTATTTCAATTTGAGGTTGAACCGCTATCATACCATGTCTGAGCTTTTCCGTGCACAAGGTGCAGACCCGGAGGGTATGGACATGACTTGCATTTCGGAACACCAGCTGGGGCACCTGGCTGGAAATGCCATGAGTGTTAATGTGATGATTCACCTTTTGGGCTCCATTATGCTGAGCTGGTAGAAGGCTTGCAAAGATTCAGCTGAGGTGGCATGACCCACACTGATGCAGTGGATCAGTTGGAAAACGGCACCCTCTCTGTGAGCCGGCTTCGAGTGTTTTACAAGGGGTGGTAATTTACCCCCCTCGGTAAAACACTCGGGGGCGCTCCCGAGTGTTTTACCAGGGAGGGTAAATTACAGATGCTGCGCCCCTGAGAGTTTGTAACTTTACAAAGTCCCCGCCCCGGGGGAGTTGTAGATTACCCCCCACCGTAAAACACTCGGGAGCGCCCCCGAGTGTTTTACGGAGGGGAGTAAATTACCCCCCCCTTGTAAAACAGTCGACCCTGAACCACAGTTGGGGTGAGTGTGCTGGCAGCTGGAACTTGAAACATGCCTGGTCATGTATCGACACCACCATATTTTTCTCTCTCTGACAGACACTCTCTTTGTCTCATTCTTCGCAAAATTGATCCTCTCTCTCTCTCTCTCTCTCTCTCTCTCTCTCTGTCTTTTTCTGTCTCTCGAGTCTTGTGAGTGCAGGTTGCATATCTGCACCGAGAGGGTGCACAGGATTTGCATGACAGGCACTGACTGGGAGAGTCAGCACTTGACATGAGATAGCTCTTATCCACATCCACTGTTCAGAGCACATGCATGTTTCTCTTGTTTGCTGCAGGAGATTGCAGAATTTCAAGTGGAGCCGAGCAGGCACGTGCGGGATCCTGTGGGGCTTTAACTTAATCTTACTTGCAAATGTATTGTGTACAAAGGGAAGTAAGTATAATAGTAGTTGTCCCAACATTCCAAATCATAGTCACGAAATGCACTGAGAGAGTGCAGACGCCGGCACTGAGAGAGTGCCGGCAGTTGAATGTGCAATTCATCTGCGCAGAAGGCACTGAGAGAGTGCCAACAGAGGCATTACATTGGGAGAGTGCCAGCACAAAATTCGCATTCACAGCAGCTTGAGACAGCTCTTATCCAAACCCATGATCATGTGTCGAGGCAGTTGTCTGTTTTTGTTTTGGTGCAGGAGATTGCCGACGGACGTGGAAGTGGCCGAGCAGGCACCTGGGTTTCCGAAGGAATCCCTGTAATAATCGAACCGCATGCCTCTCGAATCTCAGACTTCTTGCTGAAAAGACTTCTTTTAATCTCCTCTTTTGGATGCCAATGCGAGAGGACGGGTTAAACTGTGCGGCGCCGAGAGGGTGCAAATCGTCTGTACGATGCATTCAATAAAAACAGACCAGCGGTATTGACGAGCGTCAGCACTTGAACTGAATGCACTCACAGCAGCATGTGCCCTATCCTATTATTTCCATCTTGTTTTGTGGTGCAGGGAGATTGCACATGCCCCTGGAGCCGACCAGGCCCATGCGTTTCCCAGGGAATTCTTTGGGCTGTTAGTTGTAATTAAAGGAAAGTATCGAAGGAGCTTCAGCCGATGTCCCAGGATTCGTTTACCCCTTCCGGCCCCTCTCATGCTGTTTCCCCCACACGTTCCCCAACCCTAGAAGCCCCAAATGGCGGTACAGCCCTTGATCCCCATCCCCCATAGATCACTGCAATGCCCATCGATCGGGAGATTCTTCGGGAAGCGGAAACATTTCTTCATTATGGAACTGAAACATGGTGCTCAAGGTCCAACTGGACGTGTGTATGCTAGGAGCCAATTTTGTTGAAGGTACCAGACAAGACTTTCAAACACATTGTTTGCAAGTGGAATATCTTAGCAGTTGACATGGACGAGACTTTCCATAATAAAGTAGTATCACAGATCTTCGAGTGAGGTGTAGAAAGAAGGTCATGAGCTGTTTTTAGAGTGCACAATGGATGATGATGATGAGTGGTGCCTGCCAGTGGCAAGTGCTGTGTCACAGCCACCAGTGGCAAGTGCTGTGTCACAGCCACCGTCACTGCCACGTGGCAACAGTGCTGCAGCCTTGGAGAGTCCGTGTGAAAAGGGCTGCTTGACTCAGGAAGAATTTTGCAGACTGAAATTGAAGTGGGAGGGGAAATTGTTCATCGACCCTTCCCAGACCAGTTTGGGCACCTGGCTCTCAGGCAGAACGCAGAATGGGCGCTTTCTCGTGTTTTGTTCGGTATGCGCCAGGCTGAAGGATTCGAAGGATGGCCGTAGCAGAAGCACCGCCTGGGCCACCGGTTTTCAGCCTACCGTCAGAAGCTTTCACTTGACTCATGTGCAGCGACACAGCTCCACGTGTAAGGTGCACAAACAGGCTGTGAAAGATTATTTAAAGGCCTTGGGTTTGCAGAGTGAAGGGCCTGAAGACGAAAGCTGTTTTTTGAACCGTGAGCAGTTTCATGCTGCCGTGCAGAAGACATGGGACGGCTGCAGAAAGGGTCATTCTTTTCGAAGCCTGGCAGATGATGACGTGGGTTCAAAGTCACGTGCTGGTCGACTTGTTGAGGTCATGGGATGCGCATGCCTTGCAGAGGAACAAGAATTTCTCCGGGATTCTGATGTTCTGGCTTTATACCAAGACGTCCGGGCTGGCATGTTGTGCATCCGATACTCTGCAGTTTCGCTAGACTCACAGCTTTGTCGTCACGGTGTGCTCGGCATTTGTCATAATGCTGGCACAAAAAGCTTGGATCTCGTCGAAGCGATGGACAAAGTGATTGGCAGCTTTTGTACGCTAGATTGTGATTCTGGTGACATGGATCATGAGCTTCGACAGCACATATGCGAGCATGCTGAATTTTTGCAGGCTGATGGTGCAAGTGATGAGCAGCTCACAATGCGATTTGCGGAGCAAGACTTGCTGACGAATGTGCGACTGCTTGACAGGGATCCAACGCATGCAGCACGCCGATTGCTTCGAAACGCATGGCGGGCGGACCCTTATTTGGAATCAGTCTTAGACCAATACATCACGTCACCGGAATCTATGACGGCACTGATCCAATACTCCGCAGACCTGAAACATTTGTTCGAAGTTGCAGTGCTGAGCGATGACAACGCTCCATTTTCAGTCCGAAACCTCGGATGGGCGGCACACCGATTCGATTCCATGACGCGGCCTCTCTCGCGCTTTATCGTACTATTCGATTCTATCTGGGCATGCGGGATCGATGTGTGGAACAAGCGAAAGGGAACTCGCCCTGGCGAGAGGGCACATTCCTTCTTGTCCGAAAGCAGCGCAGAGTCTTTGCTACAGCTGGCGATGTTAGCAGACTGGTCAGCCGAGACCCTTGACCTAGTGCGATTCTTCGACAGGGAGACTTTCGACTCCGCTTCCGTGGCCGAAACGTTGACACAGTTTAAACACCGACTGGACACGCTTTTTGTTCAACGAGAGGTGTTGCAGTGCCCGGGTCACACGACTCACATCATAGCTTTGTTGAGAGCTAAAGAAAAAACAGCAGTGTTGAAGCATGGTGTCTTGAAAGTCCTGGGTGGTCCTGACAGCATTCCTCTTGATCTTATCGACCGCTGCATTGCTCGCATGTGCAATTGGGTAAAGCTGGTTTATGCCCGTATTGCTGCAGAATTTCCCAACCACGACCTGGTGAACAGTATGTCGGTTTTCAATTTGGGGGACAGCCTTGAGGCTGCAGAGCAGACGGGAAATTATGCGGACACCATGAAAAAAGCACGACAGGAAAGCTTGCTGCGCCTCTCGCAGGCCTTCGGTGTGGCAGTGGATGGACCCAATCAACAGGAGTTGTTTCGACAATACATGAACTTGCGACGGAATGCTCTGCATTTGCTGAGGACGGGCAAAGCTGCGTCCAACGCAGAGGCGTGGAGATTGGCCAGGTCTAAGCTAAAAGACAAAAGATTGAGTCATCACCCAACACACTTGATCGATGTCGTGCTTTGCCGCTACCAGTGTCTTAATGGCTTCACAACAAGTGGTGTGGAGCAATCGTTTTCTACCTTCGTGCGCACCTTGGGTGACTACCGGATGCACATGCAACCGTCGTTGCAAGAGCATCTCCTGCGTGTGGTGCTCGCAGCAGAAAGCTGCATGAGCAAAGGGTTCAAGGCGATATGCGAGCAGATCTGGACACTTCGCTTCCACGAGTTTCGAAAACCCATCAAAGATCGCTTTCGGCGCGAACCAAGTGCTAGCAGCAATGCCAAAACAGAGACATCATGGCAAAACCAGCGACGCTCGGCACTGCGTGCTGCTGCCGCAAGCTCTTCTGTCCGGGCCGAAGAGGATGTCTTACAGGACGCAGCTGGGGTTGGTCGTCACTTTTGGCAGCCTGGACACAATGAGGAAATGAAAGTTCTGGAAAACTTGGCCAAGGATGCCAGGCTGGAAGCCTATGCTCGAAACCATTTGCTGCAGACGGAAATTGGTGACGATGGTGAGGCCCTGTGCCAGGATCTGCAAGCCAGGCAATCCAAGCGAAAGAAGCAGGAAGATGAGCACCGGCGTGCATTCGAGAAGATGCGCCGTCTGGCCAAAAGGCCTGCGATGGTTGTTGATGCTAGCGTGTATCTGCATTTGGGGAATGCGCAACATGCTCTTGACGACATGGCTTCAGCAATGACACGCCAAAATTTCACTCTGTCTGAGGAGTCGGAGGTTCTTTCTAGTGATTATCACGTGGTGGCGAGACTCGATGCAGCTCCCGTGCAGGCTCGACTCGCTGCTGCTTTGTGTGGTACTGCCTTGTGCAACATGATGTACATCACAAGTAGTGGGAAAGACGGCACATGCATTGCAAACAAGAGGGCTTTGTCAACACAGAGGCGGATTTGGATCTCTGAGCCTTTCTTGTTGGAAAAGCCGGCAGAGGCGGATCTCCTGCTGCAGGCTATCAGCATCAATGGAAGCAATTGGCGAGTTGTGCCAGAACAGACTTGGTTGCATCACGCGCTGAATGGAGGGCCCATGAAGTTCCTTGCTTTAGTGTCCACAGAAGAGAAGGACCGACAGTGTCATATCACATTATAACAGTGGGTGTTCGGTCTTGGGTTTCGATGCTTGGCTTGACTTGCAATATAGTGAGTCCACGACACTATACTCTTCAATGTCACAAACACAGAATCAGACTTTGGGTTAGGAGATTGTACATCAAAGTTCACGGCTCGGGGTAAGTCGAATGATGTGGTTTCAGCTTCCAGGAGTCAGATTACAAGGACATCAGGAACGCGATGACTTTCGACTCATTCCTCTCCTGGATCGGGGACATCGATGCTGTCAGATGCGCGCACGGTGCTGCAAACCGCTGAAAACGAAATGCTCGCCTGCCAGCTTTGAAGCCCAGCTTGGTAGCACGGGGGCAGTTAGTACGAAAGCCGTGTTGGTCTGCAGAAGCTTATTGAATTAATTTGAATAGGATGACTAGCTAGTCAGTTCGGTGCCAGCAGCAGTGTATCATCCGATTTGCCAGGCCGGCAGTGGTGTCACACACTGGCCAGGGCCCCAATATAGCCCTTTGAGAGTTTGCCCCAGTCTGTGGCAGTTTTCGCCACCCTGCATGTGCATGCTTTTGTGTGTGAATAATTTAATGAAGACGTATGCGAGGCTGGCAACAGGTTGAGTCGAAGCACTGGGAGAGTGCATAGTGAAAGTGCCCATGTCGTGATGCCTGGTGCGTTTGCAGTTTTGTGGCTGCGCTAAGTACGTAGACTTGCCCCGTAAAACAGCACGCCGCACGCACTGTCATGGCGAAGCTCGACAAGACGGCCGATCTGGGCCCTGCAGCTGGAGATGAAGTTGTTGTCCAGCAGCTGCACGATTTGAGCAATTTGCTTTGCCGGCCCTATCATGTGGTTTTGGAAGACATTCGTCTCGTTTCGACAGTGAACAAGATGTGTGCAAGCTGCAGTGCCGGATTCGTGAAGCCCTTCCTAAGCACCAGGGAGCAGAAGCAGCTTAAGGCAGTGAGTAGCGACTGCCGTTGTGACCTGACACGATGATTTGGCTGGAGATGTGTCACATTTAGTGTCCTCAGCTTCTCATTAATTAGTCTTGGACAAGGCCGAAGAGCCTCTGGACGATTGTGAAGAGGCTGTGATGTGAGTGAAACTCATTGTCATTGAATCAGTCAGGGGCCCGAGAGGCTTTTGATCGACGAGGGGCTTTTGGTGTTTTGACCTGACTGAGGCCTTTCAGGAGGCCTTTTGAATCAGGGGGGGCTTTTGACCGAAGGGGGCGAGGATGCCTTTTTGACCGAAGGGGGCGTCTGTCAAAAAGGGCCTTGGTGGGGCTCTTGGGAGGGCTTTGGGGCTGCTTTTGGGGGCTCTTGCTCCTTCGGATTGTTCAGGTCAATGATTCTTGGCGAGCACTTTGCAAAAGACCTCAGAATCCGATCCAAAGCTGTTGCGTTGGGTTTAGTAGAATCGGGTGACAGAGGGGTCGGGGACGGCGCAGCTTTTCTGAACTTTGCAGACCCCGAGCCAAGAGAGAGCCACCAGAGCAGCATGCAGAGTGTCAAGGTTGATCGTTTTATTGCATGAGGTCCTTGTTTCTGGACAAGCACTTTCTCACAGCGTCGGCCGGCGTCTGAGTCTGAGTTCTCATTGGCAGTTGGATGTTACGGCTGGGATCAAGGATAATCAGATGATTTCTGGTTAGTGCCAAGGGTGTGAAGACTCTGCACAAGACCTCCGTAGTCATCATCTATGATCCTCATCGACAGATAATAGGTTGTAAACGAAAGGAACAGAAGCATTTCATTCTGACTGAAGCATTGGCTCGAACCTACGTGATGGCGACCCCCTGTGAGAATAGCCACTTCTGTTCCCGCCGGGCATTTGGGACTCACCGATTTTGCTGTTCCTGGTGCAAGAAAGGCCGTGGTAAGCACAAAGTCAGTTGCGACCTTCGCAACAATGATGACCCGGATGCGGCTGGTGAAACTCCACCGAGCGAGATCCCTGCAGAGTGGCAAGAGCGCTGGTTCAGTGAGTGCCCCAGAGGTAAGGCTCTCATGAGCTTCATTTTCATCTCGAAAGAGGAGATGGAGGATGATAATCGTGGCTTCAAACGATTTATGACGAGTTTGCTGCTGACTGTGCACCCAGATAAACATGGGAATGGTTCCGACAACCCCAGCCTGACACGACTGGTGCTGGACCTACAGTCTGGTTTATCAAACTGAACTGTGGATTGAATGCCACGAGTAAAAAAGGAATTGCAAGCGGCCAGCTGTTCCGTAACAATAGAGTTGGACAGCGTACAGTTTCCTGGCCTGTACCCATTTTTGCTGTTGAGGTCAGACCTCATCAGCCCAGCACTGCAGGCTGCAGGAGGCACGGGTTGTGTCGAGCTGAAGTTGAGGTTGCAGGTAGTAGCATGTGTGTTTGGATCATGGGCAATTTCGACAGAAAGGGCAGTGTGTATTCTGAGCCGTTTCGTGGCGGCACTGAGAGAGAGCCATCGCGGAAGTGGCATCGAGTCCCCTTATCAGTGAATCTACACACTTCTATGTTGCCGAGGCAAGACTACAACAGTGTTGCAGGAGGCCCAGCATGCCTCGACGAGCTACAGTACAGTTGCAGGCAGCATGTATGTGTTGATCTTGGATAGGAGGGGCAGTGTGTTTAAAGTTTCGTTCTCAGATGGATTCCCGCACTGCGAGAGTGCCTTTGATGTCGGTGCTGAGAGACATGAGTGTTACTGGCGGCAATAATGGATGAATGCTGGTGCGGAACTCTTGCGCTGAGGCATCATCTCTGCTGGCTGGACAGGGCCATGTTTCAAGGCCGGGCGCAGTTATGATTGTTGGGTGCAGTGATGCTGAGCAGACACTGAGAGAGTGTCGGGCATTATTGGCATGTTGGGCAGTGATTCTGAGCAGGAGGCACTGAAAGAGTGTCGGTCGTGTTGTGCAGTGCTGACACTGTGCATGCTACCATGCACTGGCCCAGTCCACAGGGAAGCAGTTCAGTTGCGTGCGCAGGCCTCCCCGATTCCTGTGCGTCAATTTAGCCCCTAGCCCGTCTCAGACCCAGGAGCCCTAGGAGCCAGCCAACAACTCCTCTTTCAAAGGGAAACATCTGTGAGCGCCGTCTAAGCTTTAAATACGCCTCGCTTGCCATGACGTCGTGGTCCTGGGATGACTGGCATAACGACGGTTGGTGGGAGCCACGGCAGGAAGCCACTTCGACGTGGTCCTGGGATGAAGGTTGGGGCAACCGAGGCCACTATGGCCAAGCCACTTCGTCGTCCTGGGATGACAATGACGAAGGTTGGCCCGCGGAGCCGTGGGAGGACCGAGGTCATGGGGGCAACCGTGGCCAAGCCACTTCGTCGTCCTGGGATGACAATGACGAAGGTTGGCCCGCGGAGCCGTGGGAGGACCGAGGTCATGGGGGCAACCGTGGCCAAGCCGCTTCGTCGTCCTGGGAAGGTCGGCCGGAGCCGCGAGAGAATCCGAAGAAGCGGCGTGGCGGGGGCAATGGCGCCCGCGGCCACAGGCCATTAGATTCCCTGAACGCACGAGATAGGCGCGAAGTCAAGAAGTGGCGGCAGGACAAAGACGAGAAAGAGCGCCTTGCGTATCAGGTGGAGCAGCAGGAGAGCCAGATTCAGATCTTGGAAGGCTGCTTATGGTGTGAGGAAGATACGGTCGAGGAGCTGCGACGCCAAGGGAACTTACAGAAAGAGCTCATGGTTCAGATGACTGATGAGATCAAGGCGATGCAGCAGAAGATCGAAGAGCTTCACGACGAGAAGGTTTTGTCTATGAAGAACAGAATGGACAGTGAAGCAAAATCCGCAAGCTTGGCCAAGCAGGTGGATGCGACTGGCAAGCAGCTTGCTGAGCTGCACGGCAAGCTGGGCGAAGCAGAAAGCTGGCACGCGAGGCAGCTGAGCAGTCTGTCAGCGGATTTCACTCGGTTCCAGGCCGGGCAAGACTTGCAATTTTAAGTTCTGATTGACGTAACTCCGCCGGAACATGTTTAAAAGAGGTAGAATTGGAATATCTCTTCGACTTTGTATTGCCCCAGGAAAAATCCAACAAGAAGGTTGCCGCCCTGGAGGAACTGGAGGCCTGCCAAACCACAGATGTTGCACAAGCGAGGGGACATCAGCACTTGGGTTTGTGATAGGTCGACATGACGAAGAGGCTCACAAAGCTCCAGAAGGACAAGGCAGGGAGGAATTCAGAGCAGGATCACACTCCAAGCATCTGACATGCATGTGCCCGTCCAGGATCGGTACGTGCAACTGGCGGAGGAGTTTGAGGCTCAATGGCCAAAGAAGAAAAAGAAGCCGGAGCTCCGCGATCTGACGCCCACACCGACCGAAGTTGCCGAGACGAGCGGCGACGAGGACCCATGATTTCGTGATGAGTGATAGAGGAAAACTCATATTAAGAATTTGTTCCTGCAGGACTGAGGATGCTTGGCCTGGAGGGCATGGTGTGCCGCGCTGTGGAAGAAAACTTGAGCGAGCTCGATTTTCGATTCTGACATCAGGATTGAGTTTGAGCTGTGCTGCCAACGCTTCTCCCCACCAAAGACTTTCTGAGACATTCCTGGACGCAGGTAAGACACGACTGGTGTGGTGGCATCAAGGTGGCAAGCAGGGACCCCAGCATAGTAGTAATAGATCATCTCAACAGAGCACACAGTGAGCAGTGTTCACGATTAAAAGCAAGCTCGAAAGCACTGGGAGAGTGCCTACTGTAATAAATACAGCACTGGGAGAGTGCTGACTACAAAAGCATTGGGAGCATGCTGATTGTTAATACTTGATGCTGAGCGTCTGGCTGTCATTGCTGCTTTGCTTCAATTCCAAGCCTCAGCTTAATTGCTCAGCTACTTGTCAAGTTTATGAAGCATCCTCACATCCCTACTAGTAGCACTCTCGTGCCTTCATCATCAGTCAACGTATCAGACAAGCACTCTCGCAGTGCCCCCCCGCCCTGGCGCAGGACAATCAAAGGCACTCTCTCAGTGCCGTCCCAGGCACTCTCCCAGTGCACTGAAGCCGAGCTCTGTGAGGAGCACTCTCCCAGTGCTCCTCCTAAACCCTAATAATATCTAAACCCTAAACTCTAAACCTTAAGCCCTCCCCCCACCCCCAAACCCCATTGCCATTGGCCTTGTGGGAGCTGTCGCTGTTGAAGACCAGCCGTGGGTTTAGGGTTTAGTTTAGTGGTTCAGGTGTTTAAGGTTTAGGGGTTTCGGGTTTGTGGTTTGCGGTTTAAGGGTGTAGGGTTTAGGGTTCGTAAGGGTTTAGGGTTCAAGTGTTCAGAGGTTAGAGTCTTTATAGGTTT